CCCGCACCCCGTGGCCCCTCTCCCGGGTCCGAGCGCCCGACCCCGAGCGGACTTCTCAGCAGCACCCGACTGGTTATTCAGAGGATCCCCGCTCCCGCTTCCCTTCCTGCCCGTAAAGCGGCCAAGACGGCCCGGTTCCCTCAAAAACACACTCAGTGGCCAGAGGCTGTAAAACGTATATTGACTCTCATGTACGTCTATGCACAGTGGAGAAGCCATCCTCAAAGAGGCAAGGGGCTAACCCAGTGGCGACGGCAGCGAGTCCCCGCAGTCCCGTCTTCAACCATCTCCCGGGCTGTCGCCCCAGGGCTGAGACTTCCTCCTCTTTGCCGCTGGGGATCGGCTGCAGCCGAGGGGAGCCGCCGTGGGAGTCTGAAGGCCTGTGGGGAAACCACTCGGCTTCTGGAAGGCGGCCTTCCCGAAAGGCTGCGCTGGCAGCCGGCGCTTTCCCTTCTCCGCCCCCTCGGCCTTCCCCAGGGGCCGATGACAGTCCTTAGACGTGGGGGCGGCCTGGGTCTGGGAGAACTGCACAGCAGGTGTCTCTGTGTCTGTGCTCTCCGGAGGGGCATTCCGCTGCAGGAGGGCAGCTTTCTTGGGGGACTGCGATTTCGGTGGTCGTTGCTTTCGCCTCCTAGTCGCCTGTGGCTCCCTGATGGCTTTGGCTTTCTCAGCGGGCTGGCTGCTCTCCTGAAGCCGGGAGCAAGCTTGGGCCTTTGTCAGTGAAAGGACCGTGGACAGTTCGGGGCCTGCCCCCCTGGAGATGCCATTCAGCTTCTGCAAGGAGGCCTTCTTGGGATGTTGCTGTTTCTGCAACTGCTTGGCCTCTGCAGCCCTTATGGCCTTCTTGGTTGGCTGGCCGCTGTTCTCAGACTTGGGGATGACCTGACCTTTCGGGTCAGGCAAATCTATGTTTCGAGGGGGGGCTGTTGCAGAGTTTCCTGGGGTAAAATTAAACAGATGGTTTGAGAAAACGAGCCCTGTCACCAAATGGTCTTAATCGTTAGGGCAGAAAATAAGTAGAGGTTATTAAAATATGGGAATTGCCATCCCTTGGCCAAGAGTTACACACAATTAGGTCAGTGAGTAAGAGCAGATCACTCAGATTCCTCTTACTGTGGTTTTTTGTTTTGTTTTGTTTTTTGAGTTGGAGTCTCACTCGGTCGCCCAGACTGGAGTCTCGACCCGCTGGGCTCTGGGGATCCTTCCGCCTCAGCCTTCCGAGTAGCCGGAACGACAGGCGCGTGCCACCACGCCCGGCTGATTTTTTGATTCATTGGGGAGATGAGGTCTCGCCACCATGCCCAGGCGGGTCTCGAACCCGCGGGCTCAGGCGGTCCACTCGCCTCGGCCTCCCAAGGCGCGGACGACAGGCGGAGCCACCGAGCCGGCTGGCGTTCTTTACTCGTTTGTTCTGAGCCAGCCCTTCTCGGTTAGGCTGGACTGCGGTGGCGCAGTCACGCTCAGCACAGCCTCAGCCTCCTGGGCTCGGCGATCCTTCCACTCCAGCCTCTTGAGTAGCTGGAACTACAGGCGTGCACCACCACTTCCAGCTTACTTTTTATTTCATTTTTTCGGTAGAAATGAGGTGTCACTATGCTGTTCCCAAACTCCTTGGACTCAAGCAATCGTCCCATCTCGGCCCCCCAAAGAGTTGGGATTACAGGTGTGAGTTACTGCCATAGGCTTACAGGTGTGAGTTACTGCCATAGGCTTCAGATTCCTACCACTTAATATCACTTGGCATTTTGGCACTTACTGAAGTCCTATTTTAACCTTGTTTTTTTGAACATAGGGTCTCACTGTCATCCAGGCTGGAATGTACTGGCATGATCATGGCTCATGTCAGCGTCATCTCCTGATCTCCTGGGCTCAAACAATCCTCCTGCCTCAGCCTCCTGAGTAGCTGAGACTACAGGCACATGCCACCACGCCCGCCTAATTATTTTTTTGTAGAAGCAGGGCCTTGCTATGTTGCCCAGGCTAGTCTTGGACTCCTAGGCTCAAGCAATCCTCTAGCCTTGGCCTTCCAAAGTACTGGGACTAAGCACAGGTCACACACGCCCCACTGACCCTTACATTGAGAGAAAAGATCATACCTATTCTTGGGACCAAAGGCTTTCACAGAATGCGGCGCCTCCTTGAGGACAACAAACAAAACACTCTAAGGGGGAGGTGAATCACCTGAATACCTCTGAAGAAATGGCCTCTATTTTTTACTTTTTTTTAATTTCTCTTTGAGTTGGAGTCTCACTCTGTCGCCCAGACTGGAGTGCAGTGGCCACTCCCGGCCACCGCAGCCTCGGC